TAATTTGAATGAATATAAATGATATTTTATAAAAATACAGTACAATATATTCAATATATTAAACAATGCAAACCTCTGTAATATGCTTTAGTAATTGCATCGAATTCTTCCTGTCCTGTCATTGCATTGCAATTAAAAAGATTTCTCACATCAGACCACATAATTGATACCAATTTGTTTAACATTCAAATCATCATACCTGCTGTGTCCCAGAGCATTAATCTTATATTTTCTGATTTCACACTAAACATTCATTCAAATTATATTTTTATCTCATATTAAAGTAAATTTAGATGTATTATAAACTACCGGATCATTCTCTCCATAAAGTCTACTCCAAGTGTTTTCTTGTATTCATTAGTGAAGATTCCTCTGCAGAATCTCTGAATCATTGAACTCTTGCCGACCACTCCATTGCCAACGATTACAATCTGTCATTCATTTTATAAAAATTTAATATAACAATAATGGAAGTATTACTTATACTGTAATGTGGTTTTCTTGTAAATAATATGTTTTATGGTTGTAATTTAATTTGAAAAGTGGACAACTAGCAAAATACAACGGGTGAACCGGTGAAAAGTAATTTTAAAATAATTTTATGAGCTTTAGAAATTTTAAAAATTATTAAATATTAAAATGTAGAGTTATTCGAAATATATTATAATATAATTACCGTAAAAGAATAAAATATTTTCACTATGAAAATTTCATATCATAGAATCTATAACATAGAATGTCATAGATTCTAAAGTACGGTACTATAAGTATAGTTTTGTATTTTTACATAATTTTTATAATACTGAAAATATTTTTAATTTATGCTAAATTAATATTATACTGTATTGTGAAATTAATATATGACCAGTATATTATAAAAAAATTTAGTTAGATTATCTATTGTATGTGCATGGGGTAATATTTTATATAAATTTAATATACAAGTACTAGTAGTTATAGTAAATATAAGGTAAATTTATTTCAAGTTGTTTCTCACGATTTTTCAATAAAAAATTTAGTAAATAATTAAAGAATGATTGAATTTTACATTTCCGGTTAAATTGTAGTTATCAAGTTATACATTATACAGTATAGTACCGTATAAGTACAGTATTATATTTTTAACCACAGGAATACCATGTCATACCAATAAAGGAACAATAATTATTACTGTTAGGAAACAAAAGGGAGTATTCCTTGAATTGTCAATCATTTAATAATCTAATTTTGGTTTGAAATATTTCTAATTTACAACAAAATAAAACAAAATATTTCATTGAGTCTAATTTAAAATTTATTTGTAATATTCCAAAAATTTACTCAACAATTATTAACCTTCATTTACTTCAAAGGTTTTTATATTAATATAAGTTATTGATTTATGAATGACAATGCATTGCTTACCTTAATTGCTAGCTCTAAGTCGTCGTCTCTCATTATTAGTTAATTAAGTGAAGTTTTAATTAACAATAGAAAATCTTTATTCACATTCACCACAAAAACGTTATTTAATTATTCATGAAATATTAAAAATAATTGATTAAAATACACAACAGAAGTATTGTCTTGCAACTTATTAAGCATTTCGTGGTTTAGTAATCATATCTTACGCTCGAATTAGTTTGAAAGCAAAACTTTGAGACAATTGCTTGAAAAATAATAAATTATTTCAGGCAATGATTACTAGTTTAACGAAACCTCAGTTTTGATGAAATCTGATGAGAAATATGACAAACTTGTAGAACAAAACGCATAGAGTTGTGTCAAAAGCTATTAATGCACTCAAAGCTTAAAACACAAGTTTAAGTAAAGCACAAAATCTTTAATACAATAACTTATTTACAAGTGATCTGAAAATAAGTCAAAAAACAAGAACAACGACAACAGGTTTACAATACTGTGGTCTTGAAAATCAGTCTTTTATACAAATGAATGATAGGACGAGTGGTTTCAACAAATTCCTGCACTTTAGCTCTCATTCATTGACCCCTTCCCTAATCGGTTGAACGAACGGCCAATTCTTTGCTCACAATAATTGCTAACAAAGGGCTGAACGTATGGCAGATATAACAACGGAACCACTAATATAGGGATAGCCGGAGGACATCGTATATAATAAATCATAACATTCGCTAAGAACTGGATTTTATTGTTCAGCCTTTTCTTGGATTAAAAATATATATTACGGTATAAGTTACGTATGCTTTTATAACATATGAATTTGCATTGCATATGAAAATGATTTTTTATTTCTTTATTCAAATGATAAGTTTTACAGTTATATGACATATGATTCACCAATTACTGAAATTACCGAACCCTCCCACCACTGCCGATGTCTTCGTCTTTTTCACAACCGATGCCTCCCTTTCATCTTCTGCCGGTTTACTCCGTTTGAGAGCATTCAAGTCGATGAAAGAGCCAATACCTGTGCGATGGGCTTTCATCTCTGTCTTCTTCGACTTCATGGCCTCCTTGTCCTTCATTTCCTGTTCCTCTTTACGCATATCTTCTCTTTGTTGTTTCATTTGGTCTTCAATTTCCTGAAACGGGTCCACAAAAATAGAAGTCCTTATAATTTTGATCTCTTCTAATGGTCTGTCCTTATCGTTGGTCTTAATTCTCTCCATTTTATCCAAAACCTCGAGACCACCGACCACTCGGCCGAAAATGGTGTGCTTTTTGTCCAAATGCTTACACGAGCGGAATGTTATGAAGAATTGCGATTTATTAGTGTTGGGCCCAGAGTTAGCCATACTTAAGACACCCCTTCCCTCGTGACTAAATTGAGGTTTAATTTCATCGGCAAATGGTTGACCGAAAGCCGATTCACCGCCCTTTCCAGTGCCGGTCGGGTCTCCCGATTGTATCATAAAGTTTTTGATCAAACGGTGAAAAATATTGTTAACGTAATAATCATTTTTACAAAGTTTGAGGAAATTATGACACGTTTTGGGGGTTTGATCGCAATATAACTCGAGATTAATATTTCCCAAATTGGTGATCAGTCTGACGTATCCCTTCTTCTTGACCTTCGAGTAGGTGATGAGGTCTTCGTCGAGAACTGCCGGCTCTAACTTCGACCAAATCGGGTCCATCGCAGTGGACGTGAAAGAGGCGGCCACCGCACCGGTCGAGTAGTGCGCGGCATTCAGTTTGTCCGCTTTCACCGCTTCCTTCTTCGGCTCTTTGGGCTCTTTCTTCTCCTTCTTGGCCTCCAATTCACTCAACTCTTTGAGTGTATCTCTGGTCTCGTTATTAATATTCCTTAAGTTGAAAGACGCGTCCTTTTCCTCATCGTCTTCGAGACTCAACTGGTGTTTGATGTGATAGAAGTCGCAGACATTGAATTTGGAGATATCTTTGGGATCTTGTAATACAATAATGTCTTTCTTAGTGAACGGTTGGTCTGTCAGCAAGTCTTTCATGTGTTTAGCCTTCAGATTGAGTTCTTCGACGGCTTCGTACGAAAACACGTTTCCAGTGGTTCTGATGGCAACGATGTGTGAGTTCTGAGTGAAGATCTTGTAGAGGACGGGGCAGTGGTTGTGGCCGTCATTGCTCTGATGGAAGAGGAGTTTAACCAAAGACTTCATCTCGAGTTTGGATCCATCGTACGGATCGATTCCAAACTTCTGGACAAATGGCACGATATTCTGGAGATCATAGATCACTCCCTTTGTGTTACAATAGGGATGAGTGAAGGGTTGAAGAGATAGCGAGCAGTGATCCAGAGGTAGGCGTCGGAACTGCTGGTCAGCCGTGGCGTCCAGAAGCGACTGAAGGGCAGTCCGCCCGCCGTATAGAGTCGACCATTCAGTGCACGTCAGGTATAGCTTATCCTTTTGGTGCTGTTTTTTACCCATTATTTCATCAGTTGGTCACTAATTGTCACCGAAATGTTGATCCAATGTATTGACAACACGTTTATAAAGAAAGTGCGAAATTGTGTGCAAAACAGATGTAGTGATCGAGTGATGCAATAGTCGGCGCTTTTGTCACTGTTTTGCCACAAATTGAACACAATTTCCAAAATGCACTCAACTTTCAAAAAATAATCGCTTTTTGTTTGCATTGAAAAACAATTGACTGTTCATTATCTGTCACTTCATTGAATATTTTATGTGAATTTATAAATTTGTTTTTTATATAAAGCCAAACATGTGTTCAATCAGTGATTTCATTGCCAAACAAAACTATTTTATGAAAACCAAACGCAAAACAATTGAAAGTTTGTATCAATTTCTGGATTCAGTTGATAGACAAGCGGTTCCCACGAGTGATACTCAAGTGGACAACAATCAGGTATTTATCATTAGATTCAGTAATTTTAGTCATTAATGGCATGTATTATATCATATGAGATGCCATTCAAGCGTTCAATGTATTGGTCATGCGTTTCATTCAATTGATTGTCTTTTTATGCCTTTTTTGCAACAAATATCCACTTATTTGACCTGACATTCAATTGACAGCATAATATACCTGTCTTACTGTCACTCCCCTCCCCTCCCCTCCCCTCGCATTCACTCAATCACTACTAAATAACCGATAAATTAATGTTAAATGATGTCTAATAATGAGTTTCTGATCTTATATTTGAAAGCTTAAGACAAATATCTGTAACTAGATTTTGAATTTATAATTTGAATGTTAAATCAATATTACAGTTACCATAATCGTAATACTGTATCAATATATCAGTACATTATTATTATGCTATTCAAACTCAATTTGAGACTATTTTCAGACAATTGATGTCATTTTAGTGTAATATTATTGGAAAAAAACTTTTTTTTGTAGATTGTAATAAAAATAAAAGTTTATTTTTAAGTTGTTATGTAATTTTGTCATAACAGTTATAATGCAATAGTCTATGAATAGTAGCGGTCATAACATAATGATCTTATCGTATGCTATGATCTGTGATCATAGCTCATAAAACATAGATATGTATTAATATATTGTAGCAAACATTCATTTGTTTCATTCATTGCCTCCCTGTGACACATGACATATTATGGGGGTCCCTTATATTATGCCATCCCTAATGACTGTCATTCAATTTTGCATCAATATTTTTATGGCAATTGTTTTCTAACTTTTATTTTTTACAATTGTTTAACTCACTTCAATTTATTTATTACTCAAGTAGTGAATAAGAAATTTAAACATTTACATACAGTGTATTACTTTGAAATTAAGTGTTTATTTTCAAGTATTAAGTAATAAATACGATATACACTTATTTACAACTTAATCCTTTATATAATATTTGATTGGTTTTTTATTGAAAGTTAAGATTTGAGAGATCCGTTGGTGATTCCCTCACATGTATACCTCCCATATCTTAAGAATTATATCCCAAATCGATTTCATGTCATATTATGTATCGATTGATTCGTTGATACTATTATATGTAATAACACTAAAAAAGATCTCTAAATTCTGTAATTGCATGACTTCTCGTAGTTTATTTCAATTAACAAAAGCGCAATATTTATCTCATAAAATAACATAATTTATAAAATTGTTTGACCATTAGTTTCAACAAAAACCTAATGAAACAAATGAAGGGCAGGTTAACAAGAAATCTACAGTTCCTCAAGAAACTGGAGATTCCAATGATTTGATGGTTCGTTTCAAATGTTTATTACTTTTGATGGTTTGAAAATCTAAATGCAAAACACTTTAAAATAATTGGCAAATATATTATCAGTTGGAAGAAGTGGAGGATCTGTTCGGTGGGTTGTCTTCAGCCAAGTATGACTTAAAACGGCGACAACTGGCAGACCAACGCCGTCAAGAATATCAGCTATTCCTGGAACAGGTGTTTCAATATTGATGTCATGTATGATTTTTATTATAATTAAATTTCATTAGAAATCAAAACTGGAAACAGAACTTCAAAATGAAAAGAAAAAACCAAAAAGAGTTGTAAAAGTGGATCAGAATTATAAAGAATTATTAAATAAGAAACGAAATGAAGAGCGAAAACACAACGAACTCAATGGAGTGGAGGGCATGGATATCGACGACTTTGTTCCTGTAGAGGACAGCCATACAAATGGATATACAGTGCCAATTGTGGGCCAATTTTATTGCTCCAACAATAAGTTTAGTCCCGATTTCATAACACCCAGGAGTCGATTATTGGCCACACATTCGAGTCGATTAAAGGCACAAAAATATAGGGAAGAACTCCGCAAACAGTGCGAAGAAAGACAACGGATTAAGGATGAGGAGAGAGAACGCATCCGTCTTGAGGAGGAAGAACTCGAACGCAAACTAGAGGTCCAGAGAATGAAACTATTGCTCGAGTATGAGGCCGAACAAAGAGCTATCCGCCAAAGGGCTGAGCGCTCGGCTCATAAGAAAGATGTGGACAAACATAAGAGGGATTCGATGACAATCCCTGCGTCGCCCCTCTCTCTGCTAAGAAGTCCTACTTATATGCATATGAGAGACAGACAGCCATCAGCCACTCCAATGCATAACAAATCGAAAACTGTATCGCGATCTCTGGCGTCAGCGATGAGCCAATCGATCAAATCAGCGCAACCGACAGCCACTCAAACGAACGCTCACCACAGAACTGATCCCAATTCTGCTGAGTATTACAATTCAGACGCCGATTCATCGTCGAGTGATGACGAGATAAACGACGACCAAACCAAAGGTAAATATAATTTATTCGTTAGTCTATAAACTAAGCATTCATTCATTGAATGGTTAAACAGAAGTCGAATTTAGGAAACGAGTTTTGAGTCAATTATCAGAAGTGCGACAAATGATGGAAAACGATCACATCTTAATGATGGAAGGACTCCGACAACAACAACAAACGGATGAGTGATTGCATGTATACTCACAAAAGTCAACACAATTTATACTCAATTTCTACAATTTTCCAATTCATACGAGATTTCATTATACGGTAATTATTATATATTTTCGATTCTCATCAACTAGTTTAATGAATCCTCCAATAGTTGTAAATAAACTTATATTTATATACAATATTTTGATTTGAATTCAAGTATTGTTTTATAGAATTTACTAGAAAATTGATTCATTTTTTGTATTCAAATAATATTTGAGAACATTTTTGAGTTCAGTAGTAATGAATGAAATTACTGTATACTTAATGACAAATACATTATTTATATGAAAAATTGTTTTAAAAAACTTCAATGAATTGTTGGATCTATAAAATGATGGCTTGATTTGAACGCAATGATAGGACACCAATCAATCGCTGCCATCATTTCCGTCAACTATCTTTTGGTCAGCATTTGAATCATCGCTCACACAATCATTAGTTTTAGTTTTCTTGTTGTCCGGCTCTTCAGTTGACACACATATCGCCTCACTTTCCGAATGATTTGCGTCTTCGATGTCGTCTAACTTTCGTTTAGAAGAAGTGGTCAGAAATTTGACGATAACTGCAGTCATATTGTCACATCCGGTGCCATCGCCGTGAGTGTTGGGCGCCAGACATGTTCTGAACAACTGAACAATTATTCAATATTAGTATTCATGGAAACTCCGGTTATCGTCAATCGATCACCACTTACTTCATCGCAAACCGAAGACAATTTGTCCGTTTTGTTAATGCGATGACCGACAAAGTCGACCACTTGTTGGGAAGTCATTGAATTCCTAATTCAAAATGGGGATCAGTTTAGTAAATAAGGCAAACATTAGTGCAAATAGTGTCGAGTGTCTCACCAAATGCCATCGCAGGCAATGACCATAAAATCATCACTTTGTTCGAGATCTAATGTCTTCACATCTGGCAATGCAGTGATCATCTGTTCCCTGTCGGAGACGTTTTTATTATTTTTGTAGGAATGGTCTCCAATAGCGCGCGACAGGTTCAGCCCTCCGTTCACCCGTCCGTCTTGAGTCACTTTCCCGCCCGCCTTCTCCACCCGATTCCGTTCCAACTCATCCTCTGGTTTGTGATCAATAGACATCTCAATCGCGCGTCCATTACGTGAGACAACACAACGAGAATCTCCGGCATTCGCCACAAACAACTGACTGCCTCTGAGAAGCGCCACAACAGCAGTACAGCCGCTGTCATAACCAGGTTTCTCATAGGAAGGCATCATAGGCTCCACTCCTTCCACATCCTCCTCTTCAGACTCAGACTCTGACTCAGAAGTCTCGTCATCTTCCTCTTCCTCCTCTTCATCATCAGATGACTCGTCTTTTCCTCTGAAGTCATCCCCATCTTCGCTGTCCTCATCATCGTCTGATCCGTCCATGTCTTGTAAGAAGTACTCATAAATAGGTTGATCGCTCTCTTCACTGCTATCGGGTTTAACACTGGACTCATCCTTTATAGGCGTCACTATCTTCTTGTGTTTACCCTTTCCTTTGTACGGCAATGAAGTGATCGGCTCTTCAGAGCGAATTGTCTCACAATTGTTGTCTGTTTCACAGGTCTTAGGAATATCACCAGAATTATTGTGTTTGTCCTCATCAGACACGACATCGCCTATAGAACTGGTGGGTTCACAGTCTGAACCATTGTTTGTCGACAAAACTTTTCCATTCGATGTCTTCTTTCCATTCAATGAATTTGATTCATCGGATTCGCTAACAGTTTGTTCGTTTGACTTCAAATCCACTTCATTACCATCAGTGCTGTCGGGCTGTGATGTCGAGTGGCTGTCAGTGTTGGTAACGGATGGACAAGTAGTCGAAGCGCTGGACGAACTGCATTCCTCCACAGACTCAGCCTTTTGATGGTTGCCGTCGATGACAGTTCTCTTGGCCCTAAGAAACGGTGAAATGGGTTTCGATTTACTCGACATTTCACTCTTCATGTGTGACGGCAGAGACAGTTGTGGTTTAGGCCCAGAACTGGAACTGCATTCCTCATCACCAGCTTCTTGAGGGCCGGCGTTGTTATAGCGCGCCATCAGTTCATTCATCGGAAGGTCCGCCTCTTCTCTAAGAAGAATCGCTTCATTGATGTCGTCTTCGCTGTTCTCTTCCTCCAAGTCCTGACTGCCCGACAATATCTTCAAGTCATTGATCACCTCCTGTTGGATCAAAGTCTTGTCGAACTCGAGGAATGCCTCTTCGAGACAATCATTAAATTTGTGGTTTTGGTATGAATTCAAAGACTTGATGAAAGTGGGCAGACGTTGGGCGCAATATTTGGCCACTTCTTGGCCCCCGTGTCCGTCAAACACACCAAACAAAGAGGTGTCGGTGTCGTAGTCCACGATCGCTATGTGCGCGTCCTTAAGACAAACACACATACAGTACATGTGGTGAATGTCGTGGATCTGATCTCGTGATGGCTTACCTCTTGTCCAGTCCTCCATCCCTGCATCGAAGCCGCGCCGAACACCAGTCTTGAGGAGCGGCCGTCCTCTGACTCCAACTCCGTGTTCGGTGTCGACAGATATACACCCATTGTTTGCGGTGATGGTCTTGGGATCAGTTGACAGATGTGTTGCAATCAATTGAATCAATGATACGATTGTCTCAAAGCTATTGAAGACTCAGTTTGTGTTCATTTCATTGTGTACTGTATTGACTGCAAGCAAGCATTCAATGAACTTATGGTAGACTTGTGGCACACATGCAGTGACCACATGTGAGCACCGCATCAATGGCACCATTCATTCCACTCCCATTCGTCAGTGCATTGCCAGCACTGCTTGAGACCCTCTATTCACTCAACCAAACCAATGAATGACGCCTTCAATGCTCGCCTCATATGTGACTCATTAGACGCACTGTTTGTATGCATTGCAGAGAGACAGTGATTGTCAGGGTTTGACTTTTTCGGGCACTAATCCATGCAATCCATACAAATTGGTCTTTTAATAATGAAATGTGTGCTTCATTTAATTAATTACATATATAATTAATATAAAACATGCATGTTCGTATAATAATATTCTGTAAATCTATTTAGTGTTAAGCTGTCACTGGATAATTGTCCAAATCTAGGTCCCGGTTAATATTAGCTCAGAAACTTGCAATACTTTGAAAGCATTGAATGTTATCCATTAAACCACGTGTTTGTGACCCAACCGGCTCTCAACTCCATTCATAACTTCAGTTCAATTAAATGCAATTTATTTAGACTCCAATCATTGGCTTCACATAGAGATGTATGTGCGTGAGTGCTAACTCCGACCCACTAATAATCGTAACGTTATTAATTGAGTAATGATTAAATGAAAATTCTTGAACATTAAGTAAACATTGATTTGAATGACAACTGAAAAGCAATGAAAAGAAAAATTCGTTTTTGAATGAAGTGTTGATTTTGACGAGAATATAGTGTCCATTGAAGACAACATGTGTTGCAATGCATTGCTATTGAACTCGTTTTGCAGACAACTGTTGTCATCAAACGAGAGTTCACTTCTTGTTTTGGGTAAATATTGTGTGAATGAATGGACTCATGAGTTGATGGCATTGTGTGCATGTCTTAGGGAAGCGTGTGATCTGCAAAAGCCCGGGTCAGTCACAGAAGGGCAAGAAGAGACCCGCGAAGAACATCCGACTCATCGCTATTCCCGGACAACACGTGGAGGAGAGGTCCATATTAGGCAAACAGAAGGCACTGAAATACCACCCTGGTTATAATGTATGACTGCAATTCATCTGGATCAATTCACTGCAATACATGCAATTGAATCTCTATTACAGGTGGCATTGGATCCGAAGAACAGGAATTTGTATGCATTGTGTGCCGGAACTGTCTTCTACTCCATCGAGAAATTCAATGCCAATCCCAAGAGTCAGTTCGTGGATCAGTTCTATAGACAACAAATTGGTCCCATTTATAAGAAGTATATTCATGTGATTAAAGATAAAAATCCCATTGAATTCAAACTCATTGATATCGTCTAATCACAGATTCTGTGTTCAGTTTAGTCACCAATTCATTGATTTTTAGACAAATATATTGCAAATAGTTTTGAGAATTAGGTTTGAATTTGAAATGACCGTAAATTTGATATACAGACAATAAATGTGGTGAAAAATACAAATTATTTGTCACATGGTGCTTTAAATGTGTAAAATATTTAAATTAATAAATTAGTAAACGAACATTATTTTGATGATATCTACAATAACTTAAATAATTTCATTTAATGATAGCATTACAAAAATTGATTATACATTCAAATATCTTATTATACAGTACTGTACAGTATTTCATAATTCATGCCATAATTGAATACATGAAACACTGATTGAGTTGAATATGGTCTTCAAAACGCTTTAATTGAATGCATGAATATTTATAAACAATTCACTCGACTATCACTAATATCGTGTCAATTCATTTGAAGAGACATTAAATTCAATTACGAGAATATAACAAAACAATTTGGCGATTGATCAAAGTGTCTATGAATATATGAATTCAATTATAATAGTGCTTAAGTAGCAAAAGTTTTAAGTTAACAGTGCTATAGTACTGTATATTATTAAAAATGATATTTCTCAAAATGTTTCATCAATTGCTACTCTATTTGCTTAAACCCACGAAACACTAGTTGTTCACAGGGATTAAATTGACATGAATTAAGCATAAGTATATTATTGACAAGTGTTTGTTTGCTTTGCTATATATTAATTGAAGCGACATTTTAATAGAGTATCAGATATTGTGATATTAATAGCAATGATTGAATGAGCAAGGTGGTGGTGGTGGTGTGAAAATGATGCCAATACCAGTATGCAGTATGATAAGCAGGGTATGCTGTGGTGTATTTCATGCTTGATCAATGGAAATATAATGTATTTCCATGTATTGGATGAGTGGTGGACGTCATGGATGTGAAGGTTGTGAGCATTGGCTGTGCATTGAATGCATAGGAATTGTTGCAAACAATCGCCAAAACACCCAAACCTTAATACAAACCTTAATGTAAACTCACTTATACTGAAAACCAAAACATTTGCCAATACTTAGAGCTTATTAATTCAGTTATTCGTCATTAAGTCTCATACAACTATTGTATGAAATAGCTGTCAACCATATAATAGTTATTTTAGTTTCTGGTCAACCATTGTGCTGATCGTATCAATGCTGCAACTCATCATGGTCAATCATTTACATTTACAATACTTTATATACATATGAGTTATATATTGTGAAATCATTTTGTTGATCATGATTTTGATGCTTAATTCAATTTAATGCCCATTTGTTTCAAGTAATCATTTGAATGCCATTTGATTTGTGGCTAATATTAACGATTATATGACTATTAATTAATAATCACTAATAATAGGAGTGAACATTGAATTGGCGTTTATATGGTGTGAATGGACTGCGAGTCCATTGATAACTCATTTGTTGTTTTGAGTGATCATTCAAATGATGTTTACTTTCACTGCAATTACTGTGAGATTGAAACCAATATCTGATAAATGCATTGATTTGAAGGAATGGGTGCTTACAGTGAATGCCACCAAACAATCACTCAACTAACCCTGATCACAATTGTCCACTTTATATGCAAAGCAAACTCGTAAATAGTGTCATACATTAAATCAATTGTTTTGTAGTAATAATAATTATTATTATCATTTAGTGTCCTATAATTCATTGAAATTGTCACCGATTTTATTGACAAAAATAGTTTTTAGTGTTTATTTGGATTTAGTTTTACAATATATTTGAGATTTCATTGAATATTGCATTTATTGCCAAATATGTTCAATATGTTAATCATTTAATTAATCACTTATTCACTTGAATAGTATCACTGAGTATTCAGTTTATATTATACCATAACTTAATAATATTGTCAATAAGTGAAGACATCAATATCAAAGTGAAGACAATGGCTGACAATAGAGCCAATGATAACGACTCGAAGACTGAAGGGGTCGATGACTCCGAGGAAGAGAATGAGATTCTAGAAGAGAGTCCGTGCGGGCGATGGCTTAAGAGGAAGGAAGAAGTGGGTCTATAAATGTCATGTTATGTCTGATATGTTTGTATAAATTGATGATTTGATCCAAAGGTAGAGCAAAGAGATATCCCCGGAATAGACGCCACGTATCTCGCAATGGATACCGAAGAGGGCGTCGAAGTTGTCTGGAATGAAGTGCGCTTTTCTGAGAGGAAGTACTTCAAGACTAAAGAAGAGACCATTAATGAGGTGTTTGACCGACTCATCCAATTAGAGCACCCGAACATCGTTAAGCTCCACAAGTATTGGGTTCACAAAGACATCGAAAAGCCCAGAGTTATCTTCATTACGGAGTATATGTCCAGCGGATCACTCAAACAGTTCCTCAGAAGGACTAAAAGGAGTTTAATTAAAATGTCTATCAGTGTAAGGCTAATGAGTGAAATGAGTCTAATATGAAATCATTAAATGTATGTCTATTGATGTGTAATAGGCGTGGAAGCGGTGGTGCACTCAGACACTGTCGGCCCTCTGCTATTTGCATAGCTCTCAGCCGCCTATAGTTCACGCAAATCTCAACTGCGATACAATTTTCATCAGTTATAACGGACTCATCAAAATAGGAGCCGTAGCTCCCGATGCCATTCATAAGCACGTGAAGACAGTGCGCGGGGACTCCAAAGTGAACCTCCATTTTATTGCACCCGAAATCGGATGCATTACAGACACGAATAGCTCTGTTTTGTCGCCGGCAGTGGATATCTATTCGTTCGGAATGTGTGCCTTAGAAATGGCGGCCTTAGAGATATCGGCCAACGGGGAGAGCACTACAATCACCGAAGAAGTCATCAATTCTACGATTGAAAGTCTCGAGAATCCGTTGCAAAAGGATTTCATCAGTCGGTGTATCAGAAAGAACCCCAAAGACAGGCCCACAGCCAGGGAATTGTTATTTCATCCGATAATCTTTGAAGTGCCGCCTCTTCGTCTATTCTCAGCCCATGTTATTGTCAACACCTCTTCCTATCTGCCCGAACAGCTCACAGAAGAGGCCATCTCTCGAGTGCTCTGTTTGCAGAACAATAGCGATCGGATATTGGCTGAAGTCCGCCATAACGACGGTCGGCCCAACTTTATCCTCAAACAAAGCGATGCACCGAAAGTAGAGTTCGAGAAGTTCTGCGAAGAAGTACGCAACGGGTCGTGTCCTCTGACAGCAATCGTCACCACAACCCGTCCTCCACTTATCTCTCGTCAGCGAACAATGTCTCCGGAAATGTCTTGTGAGTCAACAAAACAACTGAATTCTCCGGACAATCCTTACGATGAAGAGACTCGACGAATAAATACCATTAACTCAACTCTAGAGCCGCCTCTTCAAGAGGCCAGTGATAAAAGATTAGTGATATCTCTTCACATTGTGTTTGACGACAAAATTAATAGAAAATTGTCCACAAAATTGGAATTAAAAGAATTAGAACCGTCTTCCTTAGCTCAAGAATTAGTATTTTATGGATTTGTTAATAAGGTTTGACTCTTTATGCTCTCTTTTTGCTCTCTTTATGCTCTCTTTTTGCTCTCAAATATTTGTTTTCAATTATTTTCATCATTTTAGAAATGTTTTGCTTTTTATTTATAGGACGATAAGCATATTGTCTTCGAGTTATTGTCCGAAACTAAGGATATGTTCTGTAATTCTGGTAATCAAACCACTAGTTGTCAAAAGGTTCGACAATTACCGCAACAACAGCAGCAACCACACCAGCAAATGGCACAACAGTCTAAACCTTACGTTAAATATTAATAAGTCATAACTTTTATTATACTATAAAACAATTTTTACAAAATGCTATCAAATATGAAATACAAATAATTTTAAAACTTTCATTTGGCATAATATTTAGTCTGCAATTGAACGCTAATTTCAATTTTAAGGCCAAATCAATAAATACGTTAATTGTAATGAAGACAAAGAGATGAATGTTATAAACGTTACAAAGAGTTGACGAGAAATGTGCGAAAAGTATAGAATTTATGAGTAAATGGATTCCGCCATAAAAGACATCTTTCGGGGCAGATATAGCGTGTCATCGAAATAAGCGGACAATTCCTCCACAGACGCGTCCGATGAGGGATGACTCGCACTCACACTCGCGTCACATAAGGCCTGTCGGGCGCATGACTTGTGCTGCTCTTTGATCCGCAACTTTCGGCCCTTATTTGCCTTCACTTTACTCGTGATATTGTGGTCACTGTTTGTGGCCTTCTTCTCCTTACTGTCCTTATTGTCGGCAAACCTATCCCTCCAGTCATTGCTCTCAACTGAACAGTGTTTCGCGAAATACAAATACTTCTCGTTTTGTTGCCATTTGTCCGCCAAATTGAGTTTCAAATCCGCGAAATCACTGCAAATGCTCTTGTCTTGAGACACACGAAGAGACTCGTCCTCTTTGGATGCGTTTGTCTTCACATCCAAACCATTGTGTGAATTATGTCTCACTTTAGTCGATGACAACGAATGAGGTCTTTGTCGACGCAAACCACTCATCGATTGTCTCCTTTCGTGGCAACTGTTGTGACGAAAAGAGAGGGAAACGTGAGAAATGGTAAGTCAATGGCATATCTCTTGTGTGATAATCACCTCATTTTCGGTGAATATGGACTCGACTTGAGTGCGAAGTAATTGGTGTTTGCGTTCATATGATTATCACATTTGGATCTAATCGGTGACTCTTTGTCCGATTCCTCCACTTTTAATCGTTTGAAGTCTCGCTGCACTTCACTTAAGTCTATGCAAAAGCATTGTCTCTCATTTTCAGCACACTTCTTGTCAGATGTGTCGCTATTATCACTCATTATTGGATGCAATGGTTGTCGCGATGTCTTTGATTGTCATTCAATTGACAACATATTCACGAAATGTATTCAACGACTCATGAAACTGAATCAGACATTCATTTAGTGTTCAGTCGTGCCCCACATTCGCACTCATATTCCCGACACGAGTGGAAAATTCTGGAAACATTTGTTTTGCTTTCATTGCATTGAATGCGTGTTTTAGATGTGATTCCCATTTGTGAGCAAATATTCCCAAAACATGACAACATTTCCTCTTTCTCTGCACTCCTTTAGTGCGTGTTTTGGTGTTAGAGGTGTTCGCCATAAACAGCACTCACTTCTCAGTAGAGGTGTTGACACTTGACTTCACGTTTGTTTTGATGTAAACATAAGTTTTGAATGGATTTTGATTTCAATTGATTTGTATTTAATTTAAATGAATATTAGTTTAAGTGATAAATGATTTGATTTGAAGACATATAATGGTTTGATTGGCGAAGAGATGGCAATCAATAGATGTAATAAAGGGTTGGAATTGAGCGCTAAACTGATTGGCTTTGAATCGGTGTCCAAATCGGTGAATGTCTTCTACGATGAGATCAATCAACACGTGTTTGTGGTGACCAATCGATGCGCAGATGGAGTGGTCGTCAAAGCCATGGACGAAATGATCGCTCAATTCAGGTATACAGCGAAGACACTAACGGTTAAGAAGTGGTCTAACTTTGCAATGATTTGGTGATAGACTGGAAGACAGAGGGGATGTGTTGTCCATCAAGTTCTCGCCGGTCTGCGATGTGTTGGCCCTCCAGAGGACACCAAACACTGTTGAGTTCATTAACTTTACAAACGGTCAGCCGAACAGTCATTACTTCCAGACATCGAAGGTATCGCTCGAGACATGCATTCAATGAAAGTTTAATTATCAGTGAAACCCATTTGAAAGTTATATAACTTGTGTTCAGACCAAGAATTGCAAGGTTTTGGGATTCATTTGGACCAACACTTATGAAATGGTTTTCATCACAGATAATGGGATAGAGTTTTACCAAATTCTTAGTGAAAAGCATTCCGTCAAGTGTTTGAAGACATTCACTCTTTCGGTCGAATGGTTTGTATATGAGGTCTGTTTCCCTCAAAGTATTTCAAAAACAAATTCATTAATTGTTTTATTTCGATCACAGCCTCAGACGTCTGTCCTATTGGTAGCCAACGGAACGTATGCTAATGTCATACAAGCCTTTCAATTCAGAGTAAAGTTACTTTTGAATGCATTTACGGTAAAACTGTTGACTAATAAGATGTTTAATTGAAAGCCGAGTACTGTTTATAAATTGTCTAAATTTGAAGTCGAGTGGAACAGTAAGCAAAAGACACCCAAAACTGGATTATATGAGAGAGATGTGGCCATAGCTAACATGTAATTATAATATTTTCTATATTGTTGTAAATATTAATTGGATTGTAATCGATGGCAGATATGGTAAAAGCCGTCTATTAGTCCTTAAACATCAACCAATTCTCAAAGAACAAAGTGGTGCTCATGTGGTTATCTATACTTTCGTGAAGTATATTATTTAGCAATTTTATTAGATTTGTATTCTTGTATTAGATTTTTATTTGTATTACATTTTTAACCAGAGATTCAGTGCCTCAGAAAACAGACATTCTACTCGTGCACCTCACGGGTCGGTTCGCAATCAATATAGTCGATGATCTGGTTATAGTCCACCACCAGACCAGTCAGACATCTCTTGTTTTTGATATTAATTTGCAATCAAATGAAATTATGGCAAACGTTAAGATTCATTACCCCATTGTCTCGAACTGTACTATAAAAGAGTTCAAATTAGATGATCAAATAGACTGTGAATTATGTAAGAATTCTACGGTACGTTAATGTCTTAATGCTTATCCATTATATTTCTATAGATTCTACAAATTGGGTTATATTTCAACCAAATATTATAATCGACGCCAGACTCGGGTGTCTCTGGTTTTTGCAAATCAATTTGAAATATATAATTGAATTCATTCCAAATATTCCACTTTTGGTGGACTTTCTAATGTTTAGACGAAATTCAAAGTCATGTTTACTTAAAGTGATTAAAGACTCTATAATTGGAAACGAAGAAAACCAGAGAAACCCTTTGGGAAACCTATCGCTTGTATTCAATAAAGTGAACGCTGCTTACAAGGAATCACTCATATTAGAGACCACCACAAACCAAAACCATGTGAACGACTCTAATAAACTTAAGATGAAGACAATTGTTGATCAAACAGATGTCTTCTCTGATGTCTTCACAGTATTTGATGAGCAAAACACTGTAATACTAAACAATTAAGACATGTAAACATATACTCATTATTCACTATTTTGCAGCCTTTGGATCAAAGCCTAATCGTATCGATTCTATTTGAATACATATATTCATTATCTATACATCAGATTCCGATTCAATATTTTGTATACGAATTCCTGATCAGACATTTGGTGCGATCGCAACAGTTCTACCAAATGCATCAATTCCTTCAGTACCACGTCTTCACTGATTCCAAACCTTTGGCGTGTCTTTTGTTATCTCTTGAGCCGCACTATAAATACGCGGTTCAGTTGGCATTAGATATGTTGAAGAGACTGACCACAGCTAACGAAGAGATTATTGAAGTCCTGTTATCTCAGTACCAGTTGTCACGAGCGCTCAGATTCATACAAAGCCACGGAAACATTGACAGCATATCCGCCCGAAAATTCCTCGAAATTGCCTACAATTCAAATGATGTGAAACTCTTTTATTCCGTTTATAAGTTCTTTGAGTTAAGAAATCTACGAATTAGAGGATCGCCTGCCTTTGCCAGCGGTTAGACACAAGAGTTTAGGTTTTGATTGAATTTGAAAATTTATTTATTTGTCTTTTAGGAGAACATTGCGAGACATTTATTGAACATTTTCAACGACTATTTGGCACGACTTCTAGTCTCGCAAACAATGAACAATTGGTTAAATAGGGTAAAGAATAATATTGTTATACTTTTGTAGCAATCAATACTGTGATATAGAATATCATTATTTTTGAAAAGTAATAAAAAAAATTATGCAATCAATAAATTGTAAATTTGTTTAACATTTGCCAAAGATTTTAGCCAATAGAGCCATTCTGACGTACATTCCGTTTTCTGCTTGAGTGAAATATGCGGCCCTTTTGTCTGAATCAAAGTCAGGTCTAAAATAATTAAAATAGAGTTAATTTATGACAATTGGATTGAAGAGTCTTATAGATTTAAATAATTAATATTAAAATCGCGTCTACAATACTCACTGTATTTCATTAACTCGTGGTAATGGATGCATAACAATCATCTTAGGCTTAGCTTTTGTCATGAGCTGAGGGGTGACTATGTAGTGGTCACAACAGGCCCGGTATTCCTGTTCGCTCACAAATCTCTCCTTTTGAATACGTGTCATATACAGCACATCCGTATCGGGTAAGGCCTCCACCAAAGACGTCATCTCTTGGAATCCAATGCCTCTCTTCCTTAAGTATTCCTTAACTTCTTGAGGCATTCGGAGCTGAACTGGAGATACGAATTGAAGCGATATATTGCTGTAATGGGTCAGTAAACGCGCCAATGAGTGCACAGTTCGCCCGTTAGCCAGATCTCCTACAAGTGTTATCTAAACCACATATTCGCGTTAATCAACAGAATTTTCAAATTAAGTCAACTATATCTTACCACTAAGTTGTTAACAGTTCCGATCACTTCTCTTATAGTGAACACATCGAGCAGTGCTTGTGTCGGGTGCTCTCCAACTCCATCGCCAGCATTTATAATAGATTTGGTCCACTTCCTAGAGTTGGCCACTCTATAGACGGCTCCCTTTTCAGGATGTCTCAGCACAACAACATCACTGTAATTGGATAACACGTAAACTGAGTCTTCAAGAGATTCGCCTTTTTTAACAGAAGAGAATTCTTCGTTGAGATATATGACAGAACCGCCCAATCGTTGCATCGCTGCTGCAAATGAACAGCTCGTTCTTGTGCTGACCTCATAGAAGATCGAAGCCATCACTTTGCCCTTCAATATGTCGTTCAGATGAATGATCTGATTGTTGTCTCTCTCCAGAGGTCTGTCATTGACGACACATAATCTCATTTTATGAGCCAAATTGAATAACTCGTGCAACTGTTCCCGATTGAAGTCTTCGACTGATAATATGTGTTGACCGTAAAGACTGTGATGACCGCTAGAAATGGGAACTGGAGATAAGGCAGCCGTCAATTTGATAGTAGAGGGGCTGCTGAGCACCACTGAAAGTGGTTTGAGTTGACTTTGAGATGGAATTCCAAGTTCTTTAAACATTTCTGAATAAAGTTCTGTTGTCTGTTGTATTCGTCGATCGTTTCCTTCGAGTGTTTTCTCTTCACTTATATTACTGTCCAATAAATCAAAACCAATTGTATTTTCAGTTGACGTCTGAGCTGAAGACAGTTCCGTATGGAATATATTGCGTCCAAATCCAGCGGACACTAACACCCGTCCGTCAACAAAGACCACTTCATTCCTCAACACAACTCTACGAACTCTTCCGAACACTTTTTTACCATTAAATGGAGTCCAACGGGCCTTCGAGAAGGGCATCGCTTCTGGTATTACCCACTCCTCATCCAAATCCACTTCAATGTATGTATTCTTTTGGTCCGGAATATTGAATATTCGCTTTGGATTCAAATACATCCTTTTAATCAGATCATTGATCGTTAATCTGTTTTCTTTGACAGCAGTTAGCAAAAGAGGAAGAGTTGTCTCCAGTCCCGGAAAGCCGGGCGGAGAGTCGGACCCGTCCTTCTCAGAGACCAGATGTGGGGCGTGATCTGACGCGAACACATCGATTACATCCATGTTATCCCATAAGGCTTTCTGATCCTTGAGCGACACTAAAGAAGGCTTAACAGTACTCCTCTGCAGACCACCAATACTTTCAATGTTCTCTTCAGAAAGGAACAGATGATGTGGTGATACTTCACACGTCACTTTCATGCCCTTCTCTTTTGCAGCTTTAATCACAAGAATCTCTTCTTCTCGGGCGACGTGACAGATATGAATGGGTTGGTCGTAGAGATGTGCCAAAGATATGATGGCAGCGGTTGTCTGTCTCTCCGCGTGAACACAAATAGGAATATTTTTTGGCCAGTTTTGCAAATGTTTCATCCAATCAGTCATATCAGGCAGACATAGGTCTCCGAAAGTGTTATTTAAATACATCTTTAAAGATAAGACTCGATTGTTTTGAGCCATTTTGGACACAATTTTAGAGTTGTCAGCCGTGGCCGCCAAATACAATGCATAATCGCATTTAGCGCCAGCAGTCGCCAGTTTGGACACCAGACCATAATTGTCTGAATTAGTGATCGGAGGCTTTGTATTTGGCATCTGTTATGTGACATACAGTACAAGAGTTGTTTCGATTAAAACTTATATTATTCATCATTTTGATTGATAACTTACGACTCCAATCAAAGTGAATCCACCGGCCAGTGCAGCTCCTGTTCCACTTTGCCTATAGTTATAATGTTATTTACCGGTTAATTGAAAAATTATGGTAATGATAAATTAATAGAAAAACTTACCAGTCCTCTTTATGACTATCACCTGGTTCTCTGAGGTGGACGTGTATGTCTATAAGCCCCGGCAGTCTTATTATCTTTCTAGCGGTCAAACAATCAATGTGTGTCTTCACTGCAGGTTTGCCATCAATTAGTCTCAACGCCTCAACCAATAGTTTAGTGCATTTGACGTCTGATATTAAGGGAACTGAATAGTCGACTGCAAATCTTCGCGCGTAATAACCGATTGTCGACACTCTTCGGGCACCAGTGCTTCTCATCGGCAAATTTATCACTAAATCAAACTCTTTAGTCGACAAGTATTGGGCGATATCTTTGAATCGACACACTTTGTCCTCGTCATCGAAAGGCCACTCAACGGCTTCCACATCAATACCCTCTCCATTATAGAAGTCAGCGGTTCCTAAACTACCGAACAATCGGAATCCCATTTTAGCTAATGTCCTAATACTGGGCAAAAGCTCTACTTTCTGCCGGTGCTGTCCTATGGAAAGCAATGCTCTCTTTTTAATAGGAATTCGAAAACCTGTAGAAAGCATTGCTTTGAGATATGCTTCCCATCGGTTCTCTCCAAAACAGGCCACCTCTCCAGTGCTGGCCATCTCTACCCCGAGTGTCACATCCGCTCCACTGAGTCGAGAGAACGAGAATTGCGGTACTTTTACACCAACTCTTGTCGAGCTATAAAACCCAGTGCGCGACTCCTTTCCCGGATAGGGATCAATGGGGGTGACTGTCACTCCCATTATGACTCGTGTGGCCAAAGCAACCAAATCGCAGTCCAATGTCTTCGACACGAATGGAAAGGATCGTGAGATTCGAAGATTGCATTCAATCACTTGCAAGTCATCGTCTTTGGCAATGAGTTGCATATTGTAGGGCCCGTTCACTAACAGCTCTTTGCCGATGGCTTCACATATCTTGCGAATGTTGGCCAGAGTTATGTCTGTCAAGTCTTGAGGAGGAGTCATGAGAGTGGCGTCACCCGAATGGACGCCTGCGTTCTCTACGTGCTCAGAGACAGCCATACATACAAGTGAGCCCTCCTGGGCCACCGCATCCACATCTATCTCTTTGGCATCGTTTATGAACTTTGAGATTACGACCGGATGTTCCTTACAGACAGCCGTCGCTTCTTTCAAATAGTTTTCTGCAAACATTTAGATAGAAAGAAAAAGTTATGCAATAAGTTAAGCATTTTTAGAGAAATCACCTAAATTTTTGGCCGAATTCGCCACATTCATGGCCGCACCCGACAGTACATATGAGGGCCGAACAATACAGGGATAGCCGTTCTTTAGGCAAAACTTTTTCGCTCTCTCTATATCAGTGATGTTTTCCCAAACGGGTTGTCGTATCTTTATATTGTCGAGTATTCGCGAAAATTTGAACCTATTTTCCGCGTTATCTATCGATTCGGGAGAAGTGCCTAATATTCTGACGTTTTGTCGGAACAAATCCATTGCAATATTATTAGGCAGTTGTCCGCCCATACTTAGGATTATTCCTTCCGGTGCTTCTATGTTATAGATCTCCATAACTGTCTGTAAGGGAAGCAATAATTCTAAGATATGAAACAAATATATCACAAAGAATTCAAACAATTATACCTCAAAAGAAATTTCTTCGAAATATAATTTATCGCACATATCATAGTCTGTGCTCACAGTCTCTGGATTGCAGTTAACCATAATTGTTGTTTTGTTCATCTGATTAAATCAATTATTTACAATGTATATCAAGTTAGAAAAAATTAAATGCTTATCAATACAAACCTTTTTGAGTTCCTGAACACATCCAACGGCACAACAATCAAACTCAACTGAAGAGCCAATACGATAGACACCACTCCCTAATACCATAACCCCTCCACTGTTGAGGTCGATGTCATTAGCACAAGCATTATATGTTAAGTATAAGTAGTTAGTAGTGGCCGGCCATTCAGCGGCAACAGTATCCACACGTTTAACATACGGTGTTATGTTATTCTCAAGCCTTAATTTCCTGACCATTAAATCACTGCTTCCAATGCATTGAGCTATAAATTTATCAGAAAATCCTAATCTCTTAGCGTTTAGCAGGATTTCAGGCGTCAGTGGCTTTGTTTCCAAATCATATTTTTCCAATTCTTTCAACTGATCTATAATTCTCTTAAATTTATAGAGAAACCAAAAGTCAATTTTAGTCATATCGTAGAGCTCTTTGACGGTCCAGTTGTCGTTCAGCGCCGCCGCCAAAGCGAAGATGCGTTTATCGGTCGGAGATTCCAACTCCTCTTTGCTATGCTTTTTGAGATACGGATCAAATCCATTGACAGATTCATCAACATTTCGCAACGCTTTCTGAAAGGCCTCTTCAAATGTACGACCGATTGCCTGAATAGTTGACAACTATATTAAACAACTAAAAAGACAAATAAATAATAAAAGCTTTTAAACCATAGTCTCTCCGATACTCTTCATAGAGCTTCCAATTTGATGACTAACTCCTGTGAATTTGCCTGAAATTTATTAAATTACTATTTAATAATATCATGTAAAGCAAGTGGTTAGTGACACCCATACCTAAGTCCCAACGGGGAATCTTAACGACACAATAATCGAGGGCCGGCTCAAAGCAGGCGGTCGTCTCAGTGGTGACACTATTTATGAGCTGCGAAAGAGGGATATTGAGGGCCACTTTGGCCGCGATGTACGCCAATGGATATCCAGTGGCTTTTGATGCCAACGCAGAACTTCGAGAAAGTCTGGCGTTTACTTCAATTATATAGAATTTCTCGGAAACGGGACTCAAAGCGTATTGAATATTACACTCTCCTATAACTCCCAGATGTCGGACCACTTTTATAGCCATTGTTCGTAACTTATTGTACTCATGATTAGTGAGAGTTTGAGACGGGGCCACAACTATAGACTCTCCCGTATGAATGCCCAATGGGTCCACGTTTTCCATATTACAGACAGTAATACAGTTATCGTAGGCATCTCTCAACACTTCGTACTCCACTTCTTTCCATCCCTTCAGACTTTTGTCCAGAAGAACTTGAGTTGAATTAACCAATGCTTGGTTCACAATCTTTTTAAGCTCTTCGGGAGTGTTTGCGAATCCAGAGCCAAAGCCTCCCAAAGCATAAGCAGATCTGACAAGTATAGGATAACCCAGTTCTTTGGCAAACACGAGGGCCTCTTCTACTGAATATGCGGCCCGACTCGGGGCTACTTCTCCTCCAACTTCAGCCACTTTTTGGGAGAATTTCTCTCTATCTTCAGAATCAATGATAGAACTAATAGGTGTTCCCAACACTTCGACATTATATTCTGATAAAACTCCACTCTTTTCCAACTCAATGCCACAATTGAGAGCCGTTTGTCCGCCAAACATGAGAAGAATACTGTCGGGTCTTTCGCATCGAATCACTTCTTGAACATAGTCTGATGTAATGGGAAGAAAGTATACCTTATCGGCCAAACCAGGGGTTGTCTGAACGGTTGCAATATTTGGATTTATGAGGACTGTCTGCACCTTTTGCTCCTTCAGTGCTTTGATGGCTTGAGAACCCGAGTAATCAAATTCTCCGGCCTGTCCTATAGACAGCCCTCCAGAACCCAAAATCAATACTTTATTGGGATTTTTCATGAACTTCTCTTCGACCGGAAATGATATGTTTGTTTGAAAGCATTTACTAATCCTATTGGCAACTGATGTCTCATTATTTCCTTTCAAATGTGATTTAATAATATCTAAAAAGATATCGAAAAGAAACTCCATGTCTTCGGGACCAGCGGTGTGTTCCGGATGAAACTGGACACTGAAATATGGTTTGCATTTATGAGCGATTCCTTCATTGCTTTTATCGTTTGCATTCGTAAACAACGGAATCCACTCGTTCTTCGGGAATGAGTTCACATCGACAGCAAAGCCATGATTTTGTGATGTTATGCAACAGTTTATTGTATCCAAGAAGAGCGCCGGTTGGTTGTGACCTCTATTTCCATACGGCATCTTATAAGTGGACGCACCGGCAGCTCTGGCCAACAACTGATGTCCCAAACATATTCCAAATACAGGACACAACACATCTTTTCTGTCGATGATTTGCTTAATGTTTTCAACCGTTGAAATGCATTTGTTAGGATCTCCCGGTCCGTTGCTTAAGAATATAGCGTCAAAATTGTTGGTGTGTTTGGCGAACGGGTAGTCCCAACGAACCACTTCCACCCGAGCACCTCTTGCCGCCAAACATCGGATTTGGTTGTATTTTATACCGCAATCAATGGCTAGTATTCTTGGGAATCCTTTCTCATTATAAACTTTTGTCTCTTTAGTGGAGACCTCTTCGACGAGATTATCTAAATTGGGATCATTGAAGGACAAAGACTTCTGTATTTCAATGTCTTTGATAACAATCTTTGCGAGACAACTGCCTTTGTTTCGCAAATATTTAGTCAGTTCTCTGGTGTCAATGCCTTGAATTCCGGGCACAGAATTATCTTTCAAATACTGATCTAACGATTGTTTTGCATTCCAATGGCTATAATCCATAGACAACTCGCCGACAATGAGACCAATTGGCCAAATCTTATACGATTCAAACCACTTCGGTAGTCCCAACTCATCGGTGTCTCCGACATCGGAAACGCCATAATTTCCAATCAAAGGATATGTGAGCACAAGAATCTGTCTGTGATATGACGGGTCGGTTAATGACTCGACATATCCAACCATTCCTGTCTGGAAAACTGCATACAAATCATTACAATTAAATATTTCTCTAAATTATATAACGAATCAAATTCAGACCGATTTCGCCGGCAATAGACTTGTCGTATCCGAAGTGCAAACCCCTAAAAGTCGGGCCATCCTTAAGGATGAGGAATGCGTTCATTTTTGTTCAATTCTTTAACCCTTTTGACGAGAAGTTGACAAACTTTTATTGTTGAAAAGAAATTCTAATCAAATGGCATTGAATCGAAATAAAAGTGTATTTTTATATTAGATTTGTTTGAACGGACTTTAGAGCCTCTAAAAGTGAATACCAAAACCCGTTCAATACATACGACTGCATGACTGTTAAGCGCACACATGACAAGAGACAGACAAATGAAATACTTTGCAATTTCGAGATTATGGTTGCGATAGCGGTTAGAACTGGTACTGCAGTGACAAACAAGTCATCTTACAGTCGCCTCTCTATCCTCCAGTCATTTCTCTTCACTCAATGTTATCGACAGTACCGGTAGAGCACAGGTAAGTAACTATTCAATGCTTCAAATGTTAGACAACTTTTATTTTTAAAAGCAATTGATTATACATTTCTTAGTCAGATATATTTGAACACAAGTTATAAACGTTAGTATAATCTGAATACAAAATCGGTGAAAATCAATACAAATGACATATTAGTTATTAATTTAAAAAATTATCTGAAAAAGATTACAATGAATAATTTGGTGCTTAAAATGAGGATTAATATTCAGTTGTGTTATATTATCACAAAAAAGAGTAATAAGTAGTAAAATATTTGATTCAAAAGATTAAAATGTTTGATTCAATTTTCCACGGCATCTCCAGAATTGGGAACCACTTCCGACTTGCGTTTCACAACTTCCGCCACTTTCTCGCCCTTTATTTGAATACAAAAAGTCAATTAGAAACAGAAATACTGTATATTCAAAAAACATTAGTTTGAAAATTAATAACAAATTGAATGCAAAGCAGAGTACACCACAAACCAAACACAAATCATTAGTAAACTACTGATTATCTACGAAAGGGTCGCTGTATTTACAGTCTGTTATCCAAATGAGAACCAAAGACATGATAGCAATGAATGCACCGAAAATATGACCGCAATTAACAAATATATCAATTCATACATTAACTTTCAATCGGTCCGATCGTGATTTTAAAAATAGATTTCGTTTTTCATTGGCGTTTGCAATCCTTTGGCTGATATGAGGTCGAGAGCAACAGTGGCTCTCTTTGGCCAATAGATTCTCTCTATGGCTCGCATGAACACGACTTATCTGTTCCTTCTGACCGTTTTATCATATATTATCAAAATCTCATTAAAACAATATATCAATCAGAAAGCAATTTAGGTATTAATGGTTTAGTTTCGGAAAAAATTATTATTCTTTGCAAAACACCGGAAGAATATACGATGAGTAGGACTCACGTGTTCTTTGAGTCTCTCGTGAATCTCTTTAACAACGAGTTCTCTATTTTTCTCGGCTTTCCTTAGTTTAGACTCTAATTTAGATTTGAGTGAATCATTGGAGTTGAGAGACTCATCCATTTGTCTCCTCACCTCATCTATACGTCTGTCCTATAATCGCCAACAGATAATACAATTCAAAGATTTCCATTTGATACCAAATTTCAATCCCTTGTAATACTTCTTATTTAAAGAGTATTTCATTTCTCTTGACATTCAAAACTTATTCATTAAATTCATGGATAAATCAGAATTTCAAATAAACATGAAATTTGGTATTTTTTGGGGAAACAGGGGTTTAATTACATGCTCTCGAAGTCGCTGCTGAATAGACACTATCTGTGCTTCACGTGATTCAGCGGCAGAAGAGATCTTCATTTGGATTGCAATCAACTTATGGTTCGCAAGCATTAGGTTCTCACTCGAGAGCCGCCGTTTGGTCTCAACTCGGGTTACCTTTAATTCATTGAACGCTAACTGAATCTCGATTTCAATAACTTTAAACAGCAATTGAGTGGTTGTGGGGAACGGGAGGAGAGGTATGTCTTACGTGTTCCTTCTGCTTCTCCTGAATGGCTTTGATGTGTGACTCTCTGTTCTCTTTGAATGCCTCCATCTTCTTGTCGATGGACTGACGGGTGGACTCAATCTTCTGCTCCTCGATCTCCGAGATCTTGTCCTTCACTTCGACCACATGTGAGAGCCGTTCCTTCGCGAGACTGATCTTCTGTGCCTCCAGTGATTTGCGGCGCTCTTCCGCTTCCTTCAGCTTGTTTTCGATCTCTTCGACCGATATCTGTTTGGATGTCTCGAGAGGTCGGCCCAACTTCGGCGGCGTATCGTTGGACGGCTTCTCCAAAACCAAGTCATACTTCAAGCCACCCTTGGATTGGGTCGGACTCAAGAGGTTATTGCCTAAGAGTTAATACATAACCACTTAATCATCCATTGATTCAAACATCAAAACTAATCAAATCATTCAGATGTGAAGATACCGTCAAATAATCCGATTGTCATTATATAAGAGATTAGATGACAAGAGATTGAAAGTCTGAACAGAAGTAACAGAAGTGTTCACTCAATGAGATAATTGTCTCAAATGAACGAAACACAAGAGTTTGCCTCAAATTAAATGCTAAACCCATTGCATAATACACTGAGTATTAGAGGTCAATGACTGACACAAAGAAGTTTATCAACACTTCCAGAGCTGTCCTCCCACTGAACCAACCAATCAGTGCTCGCTTACAGACCTCACATCGCATCCAATCTATGCCTCTTGTGGTCAAAGTGGGCGCTCTTTACGACCAAAAATGAGACATTTTTTCAGTGAATCCATGGCTTGAATGCGGAAAAGAGACCAACGATTGGATCGATTGAAGGGTTAAACGAACCCTCAGTTCAGTCAATGTCTGCTTATATCCTATGCTATCGTCTATTCATTCAATGATTCACTCGTTTTTCAATGCAATTATCGTTATTATAATCATTTCATGAGATATCCTATCATTGAGTCTAATATTTATTGATTCAAACTTTTTTCAAACAAAATCAATACTTTTTAATTGAGCGCATAATTCATTAAAACTCGTAAATAACAGCAAACTATGTATTTGTAATCAGTTTTATAATTAAATAATAAATCAATTATTATTTCCAATGAGTCCATTGTCTCAAACTTACCATTGCTTTCGGATGAAGACATTGTCAGTTGGTGTCAATCAATTGATATGCGAGATAAAAGTACACTTAAATAGTTGCCAAATATTGGATAAGAGATATACTTTGAAAAAGTAATGAAAACTTGTAATCAATTGGTGTTATAAATGACAAAAAGCGAGATAAACGTCAAATGTTTCGCAGTTTTATTGTTTGCGTGAAAAATGCGGCAAAAAGTGAACCAAAAGTTAGAGTGAACTCAAGTGAAGGCCAAACAAGCGATGATTCACTGCTTTCTCTGTTTCTCTATTGAGCGCCAAAACTACACTATTTGTCCCAAAACTGTATTATTGCTGTGAATAGCGTATAGAGTGGACGGACTGTCCTCTAAGTGAAGGCCAAACAAGCGATGATTCACTGCTTTCTCTGTTTCTCTATTGAGCGCCAAAACTACACTATTTGTCCCAAAACTGTATTATTGCTGTGAATAGCGTATAGAGTGGACGGACTGTCCTCAGCACAGCCTAACACACCATTGCATGCATTCATAGCATTCAGTCTCAATGCAACTCATAATTATAAGTCTACTCAATAATACACTGAATATTCGTGAATCTACTCCACTATACAATACATTACTCTACGGAATATCATTAATATGCTGTGCACTGAACACACACTCTAATAGCTATTCTCAGTTTTATGCACTTTTCCATAATTATTTGAAGCTATCATACAATACATCATTAACTTTGAATCATACCTTTAAAATTATAACGAAAATGAGTGCACTTTTTTACATACACAGTACAGTATAATACTATTTAGTTTGGGAATTTAAAATAAAAAGTAAAGATTAAATCAAATCAAATCGGAGTCAATTGCCTTTCAGTAGTTAACATGTATTTTCTTATTAAATGATGAGTTTATTTTCAGTGAAAACATTTTAGTCGAAAAGTGTAGTGAAGTTTTGTGCCATTAATTAAGTGCAAAGACATGTATATCTAAAAATGGTTTCGCAGCTATATTTAAATATTTGTTTCGGACTTTAGATAAAAATAATGGTTTAAAAAGTAGAGCATTGTTTGGATGCTTTGCAGGCATTTCTTAGTCATTAGATACGAGTGCCGCAGACAACACACAAACTACTCTCGTATATGTCGACCACACTATTCATTCACNCAGGCATTTCTTAGTCATTAGATACGAGTGCCGCAGACAACACACAAACTACTCTCGTATATGTCGACCACACTATTCATTCACAGTTATAATTATGTGAAACTGTATTCAAAACAATTGAATTAATAATTCATATAAATATGTGAAGTGAATGAAACATAACTAAAAAAGTGCTGAAATTGATGTGAAGGTCTCGGAGCCTCCCGACCTTTGACCCCAACATTACTCACATCCCACTCATCAAACAAACTCAGAATTTCAATGAATAAAACAGTTTTGTGTTAAAAAATATATTAAAGCTTTTTAAGAGTAATTGATTTTACAAACAAGAAACAAGTTTTGTCATTTAAATGTCTTTTTATTCGCAATCTGTTCACAAAGTCTACAAAACTTCTTATTTTAATGAATTTTGGTTTGAATTTAGATTACTATATA